TCATTCATTCATTCATTCATTCATTCATTCATTCATTCATTCATTCAGTTTTGGTGCTAACTGACTCTGGGTAGCTCACAATATAGCAAAATGAGATTTTAAAAAATGCAGTACAGAATAAACCATGAACAAGATGGGAAATCTGGCCAAGCAATCCAGAAAAAAACAGATAAAACACAACTAACAAGGGGCTCCAGTCACCACTAGTTCAAGGCCTGGGAGAACAGCCAAGTCTTTATAACCTTCCAGAATGCCATCAGGTGGCAAACACACAGATCTCAGGAGGAAACTTATTCCAAAGGGCAAGCACTACTACGAAGAAAGTGCGCTTCCTGGATCCTCCTCGATGGCAGTTTAATGCAGGGTTTCTCAACCTTGGCAGCTTGAAGATGCGTGGCTGGCTGGGGAATTCTGGAAGTTGAAGTCCACGCATCTTCAAGCTGCCAAGGTTGAGAAACACTGGTTTAACGGAAGAGACCCAGAGCATGCCTGCTCTGTTGACTCACACTGGCTAGGCAGAAAGCATTGGAGATAGGTGGTCCCTCGAAAACTGGGCCCTATGCCATGTAGGGCTTTATAGGTAATAATCAACACCTTGAATTGCACCCGGAAGCACACTGGCAACCAGTACTGCTTGTGAAGTAGAAGTGTCACATGGGCATGCCAAGGCCACTGCATTCTGGACCAGTTGCAGCTTCCAAGTGGTCTTCAAGGGCAGCCCCATGTAGATTGCATTGCAGTATTCAAGCCATGAGGTGACAAGGGCATTGAGTGATTGTCTTGGAGGACTGCCCTATCCAGCAAGGGGCAACTGGTGCACCAGATGGAGCTGTGCAAAGGCCGTCTTTGCCTCTTCGAGCAGGAGCTATGGGTCCGAGAGGACCCCCAAATTGCACACCACTCTTGAATGGGGAAGTGCAACCTCATTGAAGAGTAAAGATCGAAGACTCCTGGACCTAGGTGGCTCTAACCACCACCGCCAATTTGGGACCCTTGCTGAATTCTGGAGGGGGTGATGGGGTGGAGATGTCTTTTCTTCCACCTGTCCAAGACAATTTTCCTTATCTCCCTATTCCCAATAAATGTCACTCATTTTTTCTTTCCTTGTGCTCAGGCTGCTGAAGTTGTTGGTTACCCAGTCATGATCAAAGCCTCCGAAGGAGGGGGAGGAAAAGGAATTAGGAAAGTAAACAATGCTGATGATTTTCCCAACCTCTTCAGACAGGTATGTTTCTTCTGTGACATATATCCATGGCCTGAAGAAAAGCATGCTGGCTGGGGAATTCTGGGAGTTGAAGTCCACACATCTTAAAGTGGCCAAGGTTGAGAAACACTGCCCTAGGTTATCTTTCATTTCTGAAATTCCTCAAGCTCCTTTCTGCTTTCCATCTTGGCAATCATATGGACCAGAATCTTTCTTTTTCTTTGGCCTGAAAGCAGAGACCTTGGCAATCTTGACTTCTTTTGAAGCATATTGCTAGTTCTTTCCACTTTCCCACTTTCCTTTCTTTTCATCATCTTAGGCCTGCAAGATGCGCTCATCACAGGTTCCTCTAGAATCTCTAAAATCTCCACAGGAGGTTCTTTCTACATATCCCATGTTCCACCAGCATGGAAAAGTGTCATGCTAGTGAACCTCATTGTGCTTGCTTCCCATGGGATACTAGAGAAGTGTTGGGAAAATGCATGTACACGGACTTTTGTATTGCAGTGGAAGGAACCTTAAGAAACTCCTGAAGTCCTTTCCAAGCCTTAGTCAATCTTTTGACCTTATTCATAAATAATGCTTGCTGCATGTAGTGGAAAGAGGGAATGGCCTTGAAGGACAGGAGGAAGAGTCACCACCAAGTCAACGGTCAGATAAACCTGAATCCGGTTTATAAGATGAGAAAACATCTCAGACAAGACTCTCCCTAGTTCTCATGAAAATAAAGGGAAGAAGGAGAGAAGCACAATCAGATTTGCAAGATTCTATTACTATATCTTTATAGTAATAAAGTAACTATACTTTATTTTATATATTACTTTATATAAAAGTAATATCGGCCTGTGTGACTTTAGTTTCTTAGTCTGGTCTACTTTGAAGGGCTGATATTAATTTTGCGAGTCAGAATGCGCTTCTCCCCTCCCTCTCTTAATCTTTGTGAGAGCTAGGAAAGGTATTGCCTGAGACGCTTTCTCTGGTTACAGTTCCGCCCCGGACTCAGGTTTTTTTAATCTGCCCATTTTCTTGATAGTGGCTTTTCCTCCTGTCCCTCAAGGCCATCCCCTCTTCCCACTACATTGTGTGAACTAATGAGCTGAAAAAAAATGTCTTTCTCTTAATGGCTTTAGAACATCACAAAAATCCTCTGCTAAAAATCTAGTTGCTTGGTCACTGCCTGCTTGTATGCTCTTAGGTACAAGCTGAGGTGCCCGGATCACCTATCTTCGTGATGCGTCTTGCCAAGCAATCCCGCCACCTTGAGGTCCAGATCCTTGCGGACCAATATGGCAATGCCATCTCCCTCTTTGGCCGAGATTGTTCCGTGCAGCGCCGGCATCAGAAGATTATTGAGGAAGCTCCAGCATCTATTGCAACATTGGCTGTCTTTGAACACATGGAACAGGTGGGTGGGAATTCTGCCTTTGAAGGGAGAGAACTGTAACCTACTCCTCACACCTGTAGCAAAAGAGTCAGAATTAGTTGTCTGAAGGCCGGGTTGTTGTTGCTGTTGTATAAAATGAAACTTGGAGGGATGTGTCTACCATATTGCCTTTTATCTGCTCATTGGAGCTTCTTTGAAATATGATTGAAGGAAAAGAAGAAGAGTTTGAGAAACCCACAGAAGCCAGGTCAGGGAAAGATCTGGCAGAAGCATTCATGCAACATGCTAAGTTGGTTTTGTATTTGTCTTAATTAGGTTTCGTTGGGGGGAGTAGCGTAGTCTGTGATATTGGTTCAGCCTGTCTGGTTCATTTGTGGTTCAGAATATTGCACCAAAAATGGGTTAATTCAGTAACCTGATGAAATGTATGTGAAGAACATTAGGTTAGGTCACAACTCACCTTCAGTCCTGAATAAATCTGATTGGCTCTCTAACTTTGTAAAGACTGTGTTGTGGCTACTTAGGAAAGTTTGTGCATGGCCTCATATTTCATCTAGAACAATCTGCAGACAATGTTCAGTTTGATCATATTTTCTCTGTGTAGGTTTTTGATTGCTAGGAATTATATTTTATAACTATCCAGCTTTACTTTCAGTAATATTCCAGGCAGCTTACCAAGTCAAGATCAGATGCATCTTATAACCTGGCTCCTTTAGATGCATTAGTTCCATAGTATGTGACCTGCAGATGCTGGTTTGTGTAGTGGTAGTGAAAGTCATGGTCCAGTCATGTCCAAAGGACATGAAACTGATCTAAGCTCAGTTTAAAAAACAAACTATAGATTCAGTTGAGATATACCATCCCCAGATAAAATCTGCCAGGCCATTAAAATAAATGTATTCTAGTTAGGAACAAACATACACATCCAGGTTGTCCTCACTTACTGACTGCTCATTCAGTGACTGTTTGAAGTTACAATGATACTGAAAAAGGAGATTTACAACTGGTCCTTGAACTTTCAGCTGTCAAGTCCTGCAGTTACGTGACTGCCATTTGTGACCTTCATAGTTGGCTTCTGACAAGCAACGTCAATGGAGAAGCTGGCAGTAAGTTAGAAGTCGTGGTCACGTGATGTTACACTTAACAACCACAGGTGATTTGCTTCACAATGGCAGCTGGACCTGATGTTGTAAGTCGGGTGCTGTCACATGACGTTTCACTTTACAACTGTGACATTTAGTGATGGAATTGCCAGTCCCAATTGTGGTTGTTAAGTGAGGACTACCTGTATATTTAAAAGCTTGCCCAGTTTTTAGAAGTAAAATCTCCTTTGAGCTGACCCTGACTCCTGCAGATTTCATGGACACACCTATGTAGTACTTTCTTGGAAGTAATATGGAACAATATGGAAAAAGTTTCCCATTGTCACCTTTTGGGGTGTTTTTCAACTTCCAAGTCTAGGCTGTAGCCTAGGGATTTCTGGGTGGTCTCCCACCCATCTACTAACCAGGCCTTACCCTGCTTAGCTTCTGAGCTCAGGTAAGCTTGCCATGGTGCTGCTGCCTACTGAGATGTCCCTCAGGCTTTAAAAGTTGATAGGAACAAGATGGCTTTCATGAATAGTCTCAAAATAAGTAGGAAAGCAGAAGGGTAATTCTCTGTCCCATAGTCTCAGCACCATCACAAGAAAGTCTCAGTTTCTTTTGTCCATTCTCTTGACCTCAGAAACTGGTGAGTAGGAAGGCCAGACATACCCAAACAAGTGATCTTGTGAAGCAGTGTGAACGTTTTGGTTCAAAATATATCTGGCCGTTTTGATGTCGCCCTTTCTCTCTTTTTCAGTGTGCAGTGAAACTTGCCAAGATGGTAGGCTATGTCAGTGCCGGGACGGTGGAATACCTTTACAGCCAGGATGGGAGTTTTTACTTTTTGGAGCTAAACCCTCGGCTGCAGGTCGAGCATCCTTGTACAGAAATGGTGGCCGACGTGAACCTGCCTTCTGCTCAACTCCAGGTAAGTTGAGAAGACTTGCTGGAAGGAAGAGGCTAGTTGCCAAGCATGGGCCGATCTGCAGACTTCAGCTGGAATAACCAGTTCGTCCAAGATCTTGAGGTGGGAAGAGTTCTTGGGAGCCGGTCCAAATGTTGCAAGGAGTGAGTCACGGACTTGGACCAAGATCAGAGCGCTGATAAGGCGAGGGAAGAATTCTGGCTTTGGAAAGTACAGGGTTGCATTATGCCGGTTAAAAAACTGCTCCCTGGTTCTTTTGTAATGGAAGGGTGTGTTTTCAGATGAGTGGAGCACTTTGGTACTTGATGTTTAAGCGTTGCGTAACGGAGGCAGACTTCACTTTGTGGAGCGGTGTCACCATGAGCTTCTGAAGTCTTTCTTTGGAAAATAAACCTCTTGTACTTTTATAAAAGACTGGAAACCTTTTATGGACTTTTTGCTCAAAATGGAAAAAAAGCAAAGTGATGATTTATGATTTTGATGCTTGAAAAAAGATTTCAAAAGGGCCTGAAGGGACTTTGTAATACGAAGAGGGAGGAGGGATAATGAGTTTGTTTAGAATTGTTGAAAAGAAGGTTGGAAGTTGCTTATTTTTTCTTCTTTCTTTCTCCAACTCGGTTTTGCTTTTTGCACTTTTTTCTTTCCTTCCTTCCTTCCTTCCTTCCTTCCTTCCTTCCTTCCTTCCTTCCTTCCTTCCTTCCTTCCTT